TTCCTTCCTTCCTTCCTTCCTTCCTTCCTTCCCTTGCCTTATCTCAATCTAGTTGTTTTCTTCCTTTTTTCTTCTTTCCTTCCCAATGCAAACACATTTCCTCCAACTTCTTTTGTGTTGCTCTTGCTGGAAAAAAAGAGAGGAGTATATATTCTCTGAGTGTGCATTCTTAGGTTGTCATGTGTGATAATGATTTGTTCATGACAGAGTAAATAACTGGATTATATTGAGGGCAGAGATCCAATCTGAGGATAAGATACTACTAAATACATGGACAATATGTACTTTTCTAAAACTTGAAAGTAGAGAAGGATATATGACAATGTTGTTGAGCTAGCCTTCCTACAGGCAAAGCTTGAGGCAAAATACATAGGTCATTTAAGGCCCAAGTAGATTGTATTGCCTAATATTTTATTTAAGAATTTGGATTCCTAGGGATTAAAAGTGGAGCAATATTGTTGTAAGTGTTATTGACTATTTGTTCTTTAAAATCCTGATTTTTCAATTTGTAAAATATTTTTACAACTTTTTACTATTCCTTCCTGTGAACCCTCACAAAAGCATCCAATCTTCATAGATCAGTCTTTCCAATTTTCACGAATCAGATTCAATCTTGCAAGTGCTTTAATAAAAAAAAAGTGAAGAGGAGTGGTGGGAGCAAACAATTAAGAATAAAGATGGATTGTATAAACAAATGTTTAATACAATAAATAAATTTAAAATATGTTGCTGCTATCAGTGACCATCCATATGTTTTTATCCAGAAAATGAAATCACTAGCATGCAAGGAAAGCAGATTCTTACCCTACTACCTCCTCCTCATCAACCTTGAAGATAAATTGTTCTGAAGCAATTAAACTCTTTTTTAATAGTATCCTTCTATTTCTCTCTCTCTTTATTTCTCTATCACATTTCTACCCTACTAGAATTTAAAAGAAAGGCCCTGGCAGTTTTACAGTATAAATAATATACTTAAAGCATTTGCAGTACAATCTAAAAACTTGAAAAACCCATAGCCATAAAGAAGAGACAAAAGCAATAAGCAATGTAAGCAAAACCTCAAAAATATCATAGGTATAAAAACAAACATAATGCATTTTTATATGATATACCAGGTCTATTCCAAATATTTCTAAAGTTTAATTTAACAGAAAATTTATCTACAAAGCTGCACTTGACCATATCCTCCTCCTGGAAAAGAATTTTAACTATGATAGCATGATTTTTTCAAGTTCTGGAGTGATATTTTGATAAACTGAAACTTTGCCTCCTGTTTTTCAGCATGGAAAAAACATAAGCACATGAAGCCCATATAACCTTTTGTTTTTTGTTTTTAATCAGAATAGGATTAAATTGCCAGGAACAATAGACAAGTGTGAAGAGGTAAGTTACTTTATATGGCTTACAAGTAAAAAGAAGACTATAAAAATCTGTGTGAAATATATAAAAAGAGAGAGCATCCTCAAACCACCAACTGCCCCCTGGGCTGTGTACCACTACTGAATCCCCATGCTAGTTGGCAAGGCCAAATCTTAATGCTCTTCTAAAAGATGAGTGGGGGGCAACCCCACCTCCAGGTACAAAATGTTCCACAGGTGGCGGCAAGGGCAGAAAGGTGAAAGAAATCCCAACTCAATATATTGATCTGCCTAAGCCCTTCAGAGAATTCATTTCCCCCAACTCTAGTCTCCCAGCTCCCTTAACTAAGGATCCCCCCATCTGTTCTTGCACATAAAATATCATATTAGCAGCCCAGAGATAGTGGCAAGCCCACCTCCCCTGATCTAGTTATTATTCTTAGTGCTATCAGAGCCTCTAAACCACTTATCTCATTCCCATCTCACTAGTCCACCTTAACTGGCTTCTCCCACTAATTGGTGGTGCCCAACCCACTTATTCCCTCTTCCTAACTCTCACTCAGGAATACACATCACCTCCTCACAAAACCCAAGACCCACTCTCAAGGCCTATCCTCCACTGGATCTCAACCAGTGACAGATTAAGTTTCCCCAAATTAACAGAAATTGGAGCAGGCTCCTTTTTAGTTATCTTCTTTATGATCAGAATTTAAAAAGCAGCCATGCTCTTTTTATTTCCTCATTAGAATGGAAATAAAACTTAGGATATTGGATTGTTATAAATATATAAACCACTAAAACTGTCATAGATATCAGTCTTTGGATTTTCACATTATACACTCTTCTGACCATAAGCACCTAAGTACTATTGTTGTGCTCCTAAGTCTTTGCCACTACAAGCTGAGTAAGATGCCTAACCTCAAGCTTGCGGTAAATACACTAAACATCATGTCCACATTCCTTAATAAACTAAACATTATTCACATATTCCTATCAGTAGTGACAAACTGGGATACTGCTTTCAAGATCAAAAGCCAAGAAGGCAGATAACAAATAATACATTATTTATAATTATCAAAACACTTAAAGAAATTTGGAACAAATGTTAGATATTGAATTACTAAGAAGAAAGACTAATTAAAAGCACTAATACAATTAAAAATAGATGTGATGGGAAAGTTGGAAAAGCCAACTGAAGGAGAAACAAGGAAAAAAAAGACATGTGATTATTAAAAATAAATAAATCAGTTTACTGTTCATAAAAGAAAATGCTACCCTGTACTTAAACACAGAAAAAAGATCTTGGATGACAATGAAATATGACTGCAGTGACTTCAAGTAAGTATATCCACCACAAACGTGCCACCTATCCAAAATGCTATGATGAAAACAGCTAAGGTAAGGATCATTCTGATTTAAGGATAGCTCCTATCAATCATCTCATATCCAAGTAAGATGAGTGAAACTGAAAAATGCTATTTAAAATCCTTCCTTGGCAGGCAGAGCAATACCCTACTTTTCCAATGAGCTAAGTTTCCAAAATACATTTTGAACTGAAGCCTGCACAAGTATTCATTTATTTAAATTTACTGTATTGGCTGTCCTACTCCAGTGGACTCCTATTCTGCTTTAAAAATCTCAACCAATAAGCAACAGATTCCATTTTTTTTCTAAAATAACTGATTAGCCAATGAGGTGACATCCATCTTTCATCAGTGAAAGAAAAAAAAACTGAAAGCAATGGAAAATAAGAAAAATTGTGAGAAAACCATACACATATATGTATGAAAGTACCTACATCCATACATTGTGGTATAATTTATGCTAACAGTGACTCTTTCGGATAGAGATCTTTCCATTATTTGCTATTTGATTCTCTATCTGGAGATCCTAGGAAAGTAATCTAGGACCTATATTATATACTAGTGGCTCTCAATCTGTGGTCTGTGGACCCCTGGGGGAACCGCAATGTCATGAAGGGGGTCTGTGAGGACTTAAAGAAATGTTATGATTTAAATCTTGAGTTAAGTCCATGGCCAATTTCCACAAAAGGTATTTAAAGGAGGTCCGTGGTAAAGAAAAGGTTGAGAACCACTGTTATGTACAAACCATCCTTCCTGAGGAATGTTTTATTCACCTGCTTGTAGGGGAATGCATGAAGTATCTCATCTAAAAACTCCCCCTTATATTCAGCAAAATGCAAACTGCCAAAAAGGGTACTGAAATATTGATGCAATTTAATTTTCATGTATTAATATGCAAGTTAATATTATATCCTTATGAAAAGTTACATTACCAGTATTAAACTAAAAATGTATTAAATTGACAAATCTGCCATATAAAAATCAACTGTTACCAAGTACACCATTTCCAATAATTGCAGAATAATTGAGTTCTATGTCTGCTGATTGCATTAGAAAGTCACTGAGAAACAATTTGTTCACATTTAATAGAAATAGCTATGAAATAACTGCTTCCTAAATTAAGGCTATGTAAAATTTTAAAATATCCCGTAGGGTATATTTTTTATTAATATAACATACATTTAGGAGAATATTAAGTTGCAAATTGAAAAGATAATGCATACTTTGTGGTGTAGAAAAAATATATGAATTTTAAAATAAATATTCTACACTTCAAAACAAAAATAAAATAAAACTTTACATATCTTATCCTCTGGCCAATGTATGTTCAATTTTCCCTGTAAAGACAGCATAACATTTAATGCTCAAGTTGCATTGTAATGACAGTGAACATTTTTTTTAAATAGAAATTTGTACTAAAAAATTGTATTAATTTCTGGTTTGATTACCTTTACCAGCATTCAAAGATTTGGAAGCCAAAGGAGTAAAAAGGTCACTATGTTTAGTTTTTAATATATTAAAGCACAAATGCATGCTTTGTTCTCTTTTATTATTTTTAAATATTTTGTGCAATACATTTCTGGATAGCATACCAAGCAATGTACAAATTAAATGAAATAAAATAATAACACATTAACATTTACTAAAGCATGTATATCAGGGGTCATGAGAAACAGAATATAATCATGAGATGTCAAAAGCCATCATGAATCACATCCTTCAAGAATGTATCTAAATTAGAGTTTGATTGGCCATGGAAACCAAGTTCCAGTATAGAAACCATCTTTTTTCTGATTAATAATCAATGAATATCCACAGAATACAGTAATTATTTTCTTCAATGAAATTTGGCAAAATAAACTAGGTGCTTCATTAAAAAAATATAATTGATATTTGTATAACTCTTAAGCATGGAGTGCAAAAAGTAATTTTTCCCTTTCTGCTAAAGGTATGAGTCATCCCATAAAACTGATTGGCAGGAAATTCCATACAGATAAAAACACATTTTTATATAAAGCGTTAGATTCAGGGAGGAATCAACAACTATTGGACATGAAAACTAACATTCATGAGAAGCACTGAAATGCATTATTACTTTCAAGTCAGATGGACAGTTTGGTGTAGTGATTAAGGAATAAAGGCTAGAAGCCAAGATACTGTGAGTTCTAGTCCTGCCTTAGCCATGAACCTGGCTGGGTGACTTTGGACCCAGTCTGTCTTTCTAAGCCCAATCTATCTACAGGGTTGTTGTTGTGGGGAAAATAAAAAGAGGATGGGGTGTTATGTACATTACCACCTTGAATTACTTATAAAATAATAAAGGTGGGATAAAAATCTAAGTACGTAAGTCCTGCTTGCAGGCTTGCTTGAAAGAACTGGTGGTTGCCATGGGAAAGAAAATATTTAATCAAACTAGACTCTTCTATTGCTAAGGTGAGTGCCCTTTATTGCCACGAATATGATAGTAGAGCTCAAAGAAAGATGAGCAATAATAATGCCACTTACAATACATGTGCCCTCCCTTTCTATAGTGGCCAGTAACCTTACTGCTTCTCCTAACTTTTGTCGACTACTTTTTGTTGCTCATGCTATTTCCATCTCTTTTTTTCTTATGTCATTTCCTCTTCAGGTAGGAAGTTTCAGGTTCACATTTACAGGTTACTGCAAACTTTGATCACTAACATTATGACATCTATTTTCATAAATTACAGTATTACTAATGGTTACATTGCAATTATTGTCATGCAAAACCTGCCACTTCTAAAATTAGTTTAGGTTCTTATTTACTGGTTAATACAAACTTTGATCACTAACATTATGATAGCTATTTTCATAAATTGTTAGCAGTTGTTACTTTGCATTTACTGTTATGCAAAACCTGCCACATCTAAAATTGGTTTCAATATCTGCATGTACATTCAAACCATTCCAGACTGGGTGAAAATATATGCATATCTTTTACTGTAAAATAAGACATTTTATCTGCAACAGAGCATTACAAATTCTGAAGCTCAAAGGAGTTTTATTATTAAAAATGACATGTTGCTCAAGGATGACTTTGAAAGGTAAATAATTCATTAGTGAATTGGGAACAGATTATTAATCTCAAAATACTAAACTGATCTTAAAGAAAATTAATCAAGCATCTGCATTCAGAAATACTCTCAGGTTTTTCCTAGTCAGAAATAGAGAAAGCAGTGTTGAGAATCTTTTTTGTACTCTATCATGAAAAGACAGAAACCTGAAGAAATGGGATGAAAATTGGAAGAGTTTTAAAGTATCTTCAACTTCAAACTGCACAAGCACACTATAAAGGGAAATATATGAGGGCTGTAAGCTAGATTATCTACCAAAGAACATACCTGGCTAAATTGAATGCATCATCGATCAAACCTGCACGATTACTGACAGAGATTATCTATAAGGGTAGAGGAGAAAAATTAAAGACCTTAGGATGATAAAAAAAAACTGGAAGTGTTTCATGTATTCAGGCAAGAAAGTGAAATGAGCTTACTTTATGGTTTCTCATTAGTTGGTCAATTATCAATCTCCAGTTTCTAATGTCATAGTTAACCCTAAAGTAGCCAGCTTGATTGATGTTTCCAAGCAGCCAAGTACCTCCATTAAGATATGCAATTCTGTGATGTTCTGTAAACAAAGTAGAGTGGTAAGAGAAATCAAGTTATTGTTCAGAATGTTTTATATTTTAAAATAACTGATCACAAAAAACCCTACAAGATATTCCATAGGAAACAAAATAGCCCATTCTTTATAGGAGTAGTTGGTGTCACTATACTTTCTTTTCTAATAAAGAATATGTCAAATATACAGCTATAAATTTATATAGCTATAAATTTCCTCAATTTACAGAGGAAATAAATAGGGCAAGGTATATTGCTATAAAATGCAATTATCATGTGTATCCTTGATTAAAAAAACACTGAATTTTGCTGTTATCTGCTTCATTTTTCTCTTAAGAGTGATACCAATATAGTTCTTCTGCAGATTAATTTCTAAACAAGTATACCTGGATTTAGGACCTAATTCTAACATTCAGCCAAGATGTGATAAAGACTTTATATGATAATTTGAATGAGTGAATATTATTTTACTAATGCATTCCCTAGTGATGACATGCAGTATTATCACATCATGGTGCTAGCCAGTTCTCAGAATTTTCCACAGAGGAGGTAAAAATGAAGTATTTTTATTGCACTGAGTATGTGCAAATAATATTTATCAACCAAAAGTAGAACAGCCAAAGCTCATCTCATGATGATTTTATTACATTAAAAGGAATAAAGGCAGAGCCATCAATGCTTGTTTAACAGTACAGTAGGAATCACAGCTTAGGCTGAAATATAACAATAAATCTAGATTATAAACAAGATGAAGTTATATTTATGATTTTTTTATTAAGATTATATTTGTATAAATCACAATTATTCCATATGTAAATCTCATGAAATAAACACTTCTCTGAGCATTCACTGCATGCTTTCCAGAAGTTTTAAATGTAAGAAGGAATTTCACAGGAAGATTTTGAACACATCTCTTGATTCAGCTGACTTATAGCAATATAGAACAACTTTCTTCCATTTATTATTTTTAGTGAATAACAAAGAGTGGTGAATTATTTCTCACTTTTAACATTATGGTCTAAAACAGGGGTCCCCAATCCCCGGTCCATGGACCGGTACCAGGCCGTGGCATGCCAGCAACCAGGCTGCACAAAGAAGCAAAGCCCCATCTGCAGGATGCAGGTAGCACACAAAACCATGCCCTCTCCGGTCTGAGAAAAAACCTCTGTCCACGTAACCAGTCCCTGGTGCCCAAAAGGTTGGGGACCTCTGGTCTAAAAGAATCTAGCAGAGTCTCAACTCAATTTTTTGCCTGAGCAACAGTAACTTAAATCCATAATTGTACTAGCTACTTTATGGTGGATGTAAGTGGGAGGGTCAAACATAACAAACAGCATGCAGAGACTTTCTTGTGAAAATATTCATTTTTTAAAAAATTATGATATTTTAAATCTAGAAAAACATATAGTTTCTCTGACAGTAAGACTATTATAGTTACATGGCTCTGTTAGTGGCCTGTAGATAAGGCAGATAAACAGTTCCCCACCCCAGGATATGTTATAAAGAGGTTGGTAATAAAAGTCCTAAATTGTTTTATGAATATTATTGCTCTGCTGTTCAGCAATTAACTATTTCTCTGCTTACTGAATAGTGCTTCTTCTGAAGTCAATGTGCGTGCTTAAGCTATTATTATGTTTGTAGTTACAACTAAACTCCCAATACAATAGGTCCTTATGGTAGGAAAAGAAATAACTGGCAATCTCCCATAGCTAGCAAAATGTTGATCGCCATCTTAGGTCTTTTCCCATTTTGCTGATTCTTATTTACCCAGGATTCTCATAAACTTGAGTGATTTTCAAATCACCCAGGACCTGCATATCTTCAGCAGTCTCAAACTGCCTATATCCCACTCTCCCACTCATTAACCATCTTCTCTCACTCCATTTCTCAGCCCAACAAAACTTCCTGCCAGCTCCTTAATCCATTGCAACTTATTCCAACCTGTTTCCATGACTCTCTCCCTCCCCCCCTCTCTCTCTCTTTCATTGTCAAATGTCATGCGACTGATTTACAATTTTACTTCTGCCTTGTTGAAAGGATGCTGTGATAGTCATAAATACACTTTGGTTGCAAAGCACATGAATGATCATGTGACTGCAGGACTCTTTTTTATAATATTTTATTAATTTTCTACTTTTACAGATCATAAGTACAGATCATAAGTAAAACAGCGTGTTGTCTGAGTAATAATACATATTAAATTCCTAATCTCTACCCCTTTTTCCCGGCCAATGATAAACTACATCTCATATTTAAAATTATTCTATGTCTTCTTTTTCTTTATCCTTCAATATCGATCTGTCCATTTCTACACAGGCCGGGGTTTTCTTGATCATCTCTTCTTCAGGTAGTGTTTCTTCATTTTTCCAGCACTAAGCAAATACAATTCTTACTACTATCAATACATGCAACATTAAGTATATACTTCCTCATCATATTTTTCTCATATTATACCTAATAAAAATATTTCCAGTTTATAACATCTTTTCTAGCCAAACTCATGTATTTGCAATTGAGGCCACCTTATTAAATCAATACCCTGTTCTTCCAACTCTTATTTCAATTTTGATTTCCCTTCAGTATTCAAAATATCTTTATAGGTTACAATTTTCTCAACATTAAGTTTTAGGTGGGCAAAAGCTTCTCTTGTTAAAAGCCATCCTGATATTTTTATATTTCCCATACCATACAAAAGTGTACCATCCTAATTGTAAATCATATCCTTCTAAGTAAAATGATATTGTTGTGTCTAAGGGTTATCTATTTCTTCTAGCTGTGTTCACACACCTGTTTGGTAGTATAGGGCTCCCTCTATTTTCTTTAATCTAACTCTAGCTTTCTTCCTTTGCCAGATAAATTTCCAAATCAGTGTATTTAAATCATCAAAAAAAAATTCTGTTTTTATGGGTACTATTTGAAATAGGAAAAAACATTTAGGTAAGATATTTTTGAGGGGGAGTTCAACCCATTTATATTCATTGAAAAACTCCAATTTTCCTTCTCCTTCAGCTTTTCTTTTCATTTCTTGTTTCCCAATTTCTAACATTTCTCCTAAAAGCTCTATAATCCACTCTATAAAGTCTTCTTCCTTATCTTCAGGTATGTTCTGAAATCTTCTAGTATTGTTGCTGAGTCTTCCAGGTTTTTCTTTGTCTTCACCAGTCTGTGATTTTCTTCCTTTATATCCTCCGTCTTTGGATCAATTTCCTCTGATTCTATTTTCTGAATATCTTGTTCATTCTCTATAGTCATTTTATGAAGGTTTTCTAGTTGTGAGTTTAAGTTAAAAACTTGCTCATTTATCTTTGCCTTTAGTCTCAGCATAGTTTCTTCTTGAATCTTCTTTGTGTGAAACAATTGCCTCTTGAATTAATTGCAATATAGATTGCATTTCCTTCTGGAAATCGTTAGCTTTTTCTCTCTCATATACCAAGCTGGGGGCTTCAGAGGCAGATGCTGGGGATGGTTTTTTTTTTTTTTTACCAATTTTAGCTAGGTTTGGAGCACTCATTTTTGTTCCCAGTCTCCAAGTACTCTGTAAAATCTATTATATTCCCCAAGTGCTAGCCTTATCTAACACGACCAATCTTATATTCAATATACTAATTAAATTTGAGTTTAAATTTAAAATCATCTCATATAGTTCTTATAGTCTTTGCACGTAGCCTTTATAGTCCAATAAGTTCCAAAATATAGGTCCACCACCAAAAGCAATGTTTTGTAACAATTCTTCTGTCCAGGAATCCAAAAATTATCAATCAATTGATGTTTGTAATCTAAAATGTCTAATCACCCTACGATCAATCCATAAGTCTCCCCCAGGCAAAAGTAATCAAAAGGCAAATTTTTCTTTCTCTATATATAATTCTTAAAGTCAAAAGTTAAAGTTCAGTCGATATTTGTAATCCAAGAGGATCAGCAAGTTTCAAAACAGTTGTAGCTCCCACCATGCAGAGAATAGCCCAAAATGTTTTTCTCCATTGCCAGCTGCTCTCTGTTGACCTAAGAGCTTCACCGAACATCAAAGAAGCTAAGTAATTATCTATGTCTGGGCTTCGCACCAAGTTCACTCCAGACACAACAAAATTAGTGCTGTACCCTGTTCAACCACTAGATGTCCTTAGATATCCATTTTACAACACTTAAAGCAAAACATTATTTCTTAAACTTTAAGGTTTCTTAAACTTCACCCCAATATTCTTTCAAAAAGAAAAATCTTAACAGTTCTCCCAGTTCTCGAGTTTGTCAAATGTATGTTTTAAACTTCCACTTTAGTATTATGTACTTCTCTGTTTTGGTCCCCCCAAAAGAATTGGGCTGCCACTTTCATTTCTCTGGAAGGATGGGGCAGAAATCCCCTACTTTCTCGCATTTGGGGACTTTCTTGCTTTTGGGGAATTTGTCTTTTCCAGGAAATCAAGTATCAAAGTAGTAGAGAAAGGATCAGTATTCTCACCTATTCCAAGCACACTGTTTACAATCTGCTAATTAGTGCTGTCTTTCTTCGGTTGTCAGTAGCTTCAGACTAGCCACAGAAATGCAGCTAATCTTTCCTCTGCCAGTTTGGAGGGCTTTCCTCGGATCAAATGGATCGACTGCCATATTTTTGTGATCAACGAGGATCCTCCCCTTCTTCATCACCTCTCCAGGGTGACTTTAGACCCCTTTAGGGTCCCCTGGCAGGGCAAAATCAGCTGTGAGGAGCAGAACCCAGCATTTCCTCTGCTGCATCGCTACGATGAAAACTGGAAGTCTCAGCCCTGATGTAATTTTTACGTGACTGCAGGATTCATGACAATCATAAAAGCAAGGATTGGTCACAAAGCTTTTTTTTAAATACCATCATAATTTTGAATGGTTGCTAAACAAGGAATCAGTAAGCTAAGCCTACCTTATAATATTTGTTTTGCTACTATAGTAAGATTTTTAATCAAAATGCTGTAATTTATAATACTTAAAAAGCAAGAAACAATTCTAGTCATTTTGACACCTAGAGTTCAGTATAGC